GTGTCTGTCTCTGCTGTACTGAGGTGTTTTTTACATTTAAGGGAAAAAAAAGAAAAAAAAGATTGTTTTAAAAAAAATGGAATCCATACCATGATGCGTTTTAAAACCACCAATAGCCCTTGGGCTGGCAAGAAGGCAGGAGTTTGTGTGATGCCCATCCTGGCATGAGCAGCGGGCTCACTCACCAGCCCTGAAGAGGTGAGCTTGGCCTCTGGCCTCCGTGGACTTAGGAGACCAGGCAAGAACTCTGACAAAACTTTGGGGGTCGTGATGTGATTACAGCCCCTGAGGTGGCCTGCCTGCCCCAGGTCTAGGAATGGACTTCTTCAGAATTTGCATAGGCACCTAGAATGAGGCTGCTGAGAACATCGTGGTCATCAGACCTACTTGGGAGAGAACGCACAGCTCCCAGCCTGCTGTGGAGGCAGCTGAGAAGCAGTGGCCTCAGGACTAAGGGCCCGGATGTTGCTGTACTGTTCCATTTAGTGTAGAAGGGAAGAGAATTGGTGCTGCAGAAGTGTGTCCGCTACGAAGCCGATGAGAAACCTCGTGTTAGTCTGACATGTACTCACTTACTCATCCATTTCTATAGGATGCACAATGCACGTGGGCCCTGATATTGAGGCCCAATCCCTGCAGTGGGGAAGGGGAAAGGGTTGCGCTTTGCTTCGTGTTTGTTTTCTTATAACTTAGCAAGGAGAGAGCCAGACCCTAGTCAGGGCTCCCTTTGCTGCCTTTGGCAGTTTTGTTTCTGTGCCGAGTTGGACCATCTTTGTCTTGCCTCTTCACGGTGGTGGTCCCCGTGCTCACCCTCATCTGGGCCTGGGCCCTCTGCCAAGTGCCCCAGTGGGGTGGGAGGAGTGAGGCAGTGGGATTGAGCTGATGGTTGTCTCTATGCATTCAGGCTGCCCTGAGGGCTGCCCCCCTCTTACTATTCCCTTGCTGCACGTCCATCTCTTTTCCTGTCTTTGACCCGACGGCTTTGGCAAGAAGAAGAGGTGTCCTCTTTAAGAGGTCTCTTTACTGACCAACTGAAGTATAGACTTACTGCTGGACAATCTGCATGGGCATCACCCCCACCACCAACAACTGCATGTACCCAAAAGAGGTGTCCAGAACCAAGACTCCTACTTACATTCATTGTCCCTCTCTGTGCTCAAGGAGTTCCATTCCAGGAGGGAAAGATCTATACTCTAAGCAGATAGCAGAGAAGATAATGGAGGAGCAATTGGTCATGGCCTTGGTTTCCCCAAAACAACTGTGCAAACTTGTCTGTGCAATTATTTGCACTATTGGGGGGAGAGGTGGGTAGACCCCAGCTGCCTGGACTACCTGCAGGAGGCAAAGCTACAGATTTACCTTGGAGCCACCTGAGAAGAGAGCAAACTCACAGGTGCTGGTGCTTGGATTTAGCCAGGCTCCTCGGAGCACCTCATGCATGCCCCAGCCCCTGGGCCCTAGCCCTTTCCTGCCCTGCAGCCTGCAGTACCAGCACGCAGACACCTTCACCACGGGGTTTGGTTTTGCTGGCTTGAAGACAAATGGTCTTAGAGTTCATTAAGACCCATAGCTTCATGTGGCTGCTCCAGCCCCACTTCTTAGCATTCTTACTCCTCTTCTGGGGCTAATGTCAGCATCTATAGACAATAGACTATTAAAAAAATCACCTTTTAAACAGGAAATGGAAGGCATTTGATGCAGAATTTTTGCATGATGACATAGAAATAATTTAAAAATAGTTAGTGTTTGTTCTGAATGTTGGTAGACCCTTCATAGCTTTGTTACAATGAAACCTTGAACTGAAGATATTTAATAAAATAACCTTTAAACCGTCCATTGTGTTACTGCTGTTGGAGACTTATGGCCAGAGGCTTAGATTTTAGCAACCTGGGTTACACGGCTTCAGATGAAGAGCTGTACCTTCCCCCACTCCCTTTGGGCCCATTTTGGAATAAAACTTCATAAACTCACCAGCCTCCACCCGGCGCACCCGGCAGGCCGGGCGAGTTTGGGGTGGGGAGGAAGGATTCGGGCCCTCAGCTGGTGGGCTCGG